GAAATGACCTATCGTTTATTTGAAGTTTTTGAAATAAAGCATAGGATTCTGTGATGAAAATACGGTTATTATTTGGTATACCTTGCCAGTTGTTTTCTTTGCTACTACTAGGTGTGGACTAATTGTTGCAATTATTAAAAAAAAAAAATTAGATGTTGAAATGATTTTTATGAATAAATAAGTATAGTTTTAACTTTTATATATGTTATATAATGTTTGTGTATCAAATAAAAATTTGTGACTAAAGATAAAGTGGATAAATAACTCCGTCCGTTTCATTTCAAAATAAATCACAAATGGGCGATGTCAAAATGGACACTTTTTGAAATCATATATTAAAAGAGACTTTCTAAAAATATATACTTCACCCACAAATGGATGAACTATCACAAATGAACTTAACTCCGTCTGCTTCATCCCAAAATAAATCACAAATAATTTAAGATAGTTTCACAAATGGGTGAATTGCAATTTTTTTGTTAGCTTTTCACGTAAAGCTATTTCATACGTAAATTTTAATTGTAATGTGAAGTCTATTTGATTAATAAAATAGCGAGTTTTCTCAACAATAAAAGTAAAAAAAAAAACTGAGAACTTTTTTCATAAAATAAATTATACTATTTATTCGCCTAAATCAATCGTAAAAAATTATTGAGGTTGGCAGGGACAAAAACTCCTCTTATAATCGGTTTTCCTACATAAATATTTAAAATGTGAAAACCTTAAATATTTATAATTTATTTTGGGATGTAACAGTTCACCCACTTGTGGGTGAAGTATCCGTTTTGGTGTATATATTTATAGAGAAGGTCCCTTTTAATATATGGTGCCCAAAAAGTATCCGTTTTGATATCAGACTCTATATGATCCTATGCCATCTATGGAGTCATTTGTAAAATAAGAACAAAATTCAAATCAATTAAGTCATAATAAATATTACAAATATCTCATGTCCATGTGCAGTTTGCAGACTATTACATCGTGGAGAATTTATCTAGTGCGTACAATTATTCAGCAGATAGTAATGCTAGTATAACACACTAGCATATCATGAACCAACTATCTGATGCACCCAGGGACAGAGCTAGAGGGACGGAAAGGGGTTCATCCGAACCTTATATAAGGTTAAATTTTTTCATGTATTAAGTGAAAATCGTGTACCCGCCACTAGATGCACCCACTGACTCTAACTACTGGATTGGCCTTTATAACCATGACCTGTAAAGCTTGCATCTTTCAAAGCATCCTTACATAAGCTTTCTAGCAGTTTATCACCACTAGGAGTGTACATGGCCGAGTTGGTTCGGTTTTTTCAAATATCAAACCAAACCATTTGTGTCGGTTTTTAAATTTATAAACCAAACCAAACCAATAAAACTCGGGTTTTTCAACCTCGGGTTTTTCGGTTTTTCGGGTTGTTTCAAGTTTTTCCGGTAAAGTATTTATACAAACATATAATTTACTTGTACTTCAAATATTTCTTTAGTCCTACCAAAATACAACTATCTAAGATGTTTCTTAAAAATATAACACAATATAATATGATTAATGACACTAAAATATCCAACAAAAATAATAATAATGAAATCGCGTAAAACAAATATTGCAAATTAACAAGTCACAATGAAAATTATCATAATTTAAAAGTACTAAATCATGCTAAAATTAAGTTTAATAAGTATTAGTTACATGACTAAATATTAAAGAAAATTAAAATTAGATTATGTATTTTAATTGGCTAAACCAATGTAAAACTAAAGAACAATTTTCAATATTATTCTCATTCTTAGTGTTGAATTGATTTTCTTTTTGCATTAGTATTACTTTGATTTTGATTTAAGCTTTATTATAATTACCAACATCTATGTATTATAATCTTTATTGGCCCATTCATAATTCTAAGTTTCAAACTTGAAATAATATATTAAAAGATAAAAACTATGGAAAAGTATAAGAAATACTTAAAAATTATATCAAAGTAAATATTTTTATGTATAAAATAAAATTTTAAAATTATTTATATAAATTCGGGTTGATTTGGTCTCGGGTTGGTTTTTTTTAGTTAAAACCAAACCAACCCAAATATAGTCGGGTTTTTTTTCCAAAACCAAACCAAGTCAAACCAAACCACTAGTCGGTTTTTTTTGGGGTTGACTCAGTTTACGGTTTGGTTCGGTTATCGATTCGGTTTTGTACACCCCTAATCACCACCATCTGTTGCTTAGACTAAAAAGGATAAATTTAGCTTCTCAGTTCTTAACTACAGAAACTAAAAAAAAAAAACAAAAATTGGCAACAGCATCAACAATAGAATTTAAAAAGAGGTCAAGCAAATATCGAAGAACGGGTCTAAAGCTACTGAATTGCAACTGAAAGACTATAATTTCTCAGTCGTTTTCACTATAACAAAGATAAGGGTTGAGCCAGTTACTACTGAATGGTCGAAAGCTACTGATCTGCAACTAAAGGATGACAATTTCAACACCATCAAGAAAAGGGTAGAGCTAGTTAAAAAGAAATATTGAATTGCAACTAAAAAACTACAACTTTGCAACAGTTTTCACAATAAAAAGAAAGGCTCAAAAGGGTCGAACCAGTTACTAGTGAATGGTTGAAAGCTACTGATAAGCAACCAACGGACAACAATATCAACGATACCAATAAAAGGGTCAAGGCATATGATATACATGGTCAAAATATTTTTTACTGAAGTGAAATACCCAACATGAGATCTTGTTGAGATCACCATTTTGTTGTCTAAAGCTATTGAACTGCAACTAAATGACTACAACTTTGCAGCAGTTTTCACTATAACAAGAAAAAGGTCGAGCCAGTTACTAGTGAAAATGGTTGAAAACTACTGATATACAACTAAAGAACAACAATTTCAACAGTTTCAAGAAAAGGGTCAAGCCAAATATCAATGAATGGTCGAAATATTTATACTGAAGTGAAAGTACCGAACTGAGTAAGCTATTGAAATGCAACTAAAAGATTAGAACTTTGAGGCAGTTTTCACTAAAACTAGAAAAGGATCTCGAGCCAGTTACTAGTAGAATGATCGAAAACTACTGATATGCAACTAAGGAAAATAATTTCAACAACATCAAGAAAAATGGCCAAGTAATATATCAATGAATGGTCAAAAAAAGATACAGGAAGTGCAATAACCCACTCGGGTTGTTGTTGTTATTGTTGGAATCATCATTTTGTTGTCTAAAGCTACTGAATCGCAACTAAAAGACTAGAACTTTGCAGCAGTTTTCACAAACAAGAAAAGGGTCAAGCCAGTTACTAGAATTGGTTGAAAACTACTGATATGCAACTAAAGGAGCAATTTTCACAACATCAAGAAAAGGGTCAAGCTATATATCAAAGAATGATCAAAAATTTTGATACTGAAGTGAAATATCCAACCTGAATTGTTGTTGGAATCATCCTTTTGCTGAGAATCTTTTCCAAAATCTATATTATGTGAGTTCTTTAAGGCGGGGCAATGTGCTAAGGGTTTTAAGTGCAAATTCTCTCGTGATCTGAATGTTCAGCGAAACGGAGAGAAGATGGATATTTCAGCGATAAGCGTGATGAAGGTGGTTAAGCAACAAAAACATTAGATGAAAAGGAAACTATGGACGATTGGAGAAGGTTGTGGCATCAAAAAGTCAGGAGTATAACAAGAACAAACCAATTGACATTGTAAGCGTTGTCCTTTTCCAAAATATACCTTGTACTGTACATACTCCACAATATTCCAACTAAACTGTAAAGACAAACTAACTAAGAAGAGAGCAATTTACTAGTAATGATGTTCAACATTGACAAGAGTTGTTAACACAAAGCCGAAAGGATGCACATACTTCACATCACTATATGTCCAAACCTCCCTTCACCTACATAAAAACACAGAAGAGAGTTTAGTAACTTGCAAATGCTGAAACTTAATCATTCTTTAAGCAATCAAGAAGTAGATCAGGTTTTCCAAAACAATTTCCAGGTTCCCGTAATCAAAACCAAGTATCATTTTTTAGATTTGTTTTCTTGCACAACACATGGAAAAACAGCAAAGAGGAAAAATGAAAAACTATTTGATTTGACAACATGAAAGTTACATAATAATTAATAATGACAAAGCAAAAATGAGCATTCATAATGTGATAGGTTAACAGAACCATTTTCGGACTGTAATTAGTTGAGCGTTTTATTTTCTCTTTTATTGAAAATCAAGAGGTTAACAACATAGTACAAATTATTTGAAAACACAAAAACATTCATATCGATCCACAGAGATTTCAAATGTTACCTAATAGGAAAGTGAGCTCTTGAATAAAGTTACAAGACATTTTTCAAAGCGGAGAGAGTGAGGAGATCACAAATACATGACATCAAATCAAATTAATATCTTTAACTGAATCCTATGTCAAATAGTGTCACCAAGTTAGACACAAAGCTAAAAGAACTGAAGTTGTAATTCATTCTATGAGATATTTAAAGTTTAAAACACAAAAGGAAGGTATAGCATATCTCATTACCCTTGGCCTAACAATTGGGAACTCCAAAGATTTATTTATATGTTCCACCACCTTAGCTTGAAAATATTCATCCTCGCCATTTTTGACCGAAAAGGTGATATAGAAAATGAAGCCTTGACAGCCACCTTCATTAACCTTGAGAATACGGTCGACCTCATATTTAGTGCCCTAAAATGAAGGAATATAGAGGAACCTCATTAGCTTTCTAAAGAAAACAAGGAAAATAATAATGGGAAGTGTGAGTAGAGCTTACATTGTTCGTATTGTACTGCTCAAGTGCCTTTGCACAATAACCCTTCAACATTTCAGCATTAGCAGGAGTGTCTAAGTAGTTAGTCATGAGTAGATGCTAGTTAGTGGACACGAACCGGGATAATCCACTTTCAATTACTACCAAAATAATAATTATAGAGTAAACATCACAATTACAGCAAAGGTTTTTTCTCCTTCAATTACTGCCAACTGAACCATAAAGACAAACTAACTAAGAAGAGAGCAATTTACTAGTAATGATGTCCAACATTGACAAGAGTTGTTAACACAAAGCCAAAAGGATGCACAGACTTCACATCACTATATGTCCAAACCTCCCTTCACCTACATAAAAGCACACAAGAGAGTTAGTAACTTGCAAATGCTGAAACTTAATCATTCTTTAAGCAATCAAGAAGTAGATCAGGTTTTCCAAAACAATTTCCAGGTTCCTTTCTTAAGCTTAATCCAAACCGAATATCATATTAGCATTTATTTTCTCGCACAACACATGGAAAAACAGCAACCAGAGGAAGAATGAAAAATTATTTGATTTGCTAACATGAAAGTTACATAATAATTAATAATGACAAAGCATAATGTGATAGGTTAACAGAACCATTTTGGGACCGTAACTAGTTGAGCGTTTTACTCTCTCTTTTATTGAAAATCAAGAGGTTAACAACATAGTACAAATTACTTGAAAACACAAAAACATTCATTTCAATCCATAGAGATTTCAGGTGTTACCTAATAGGAAAGCGCGCTCTTGAATAAAGTTATAAGACATTTTTAAAAGCGGAGACAGTGAGGAGATCACAAATACAGGACATCAAATCAAATTAATATCTTTAACTGAATTCTATGTACAGTGTCACCAAGTTAGACACAAAGCTAGAAGAACCGAAGTGTAAATTCATTCAATGAGATATTTAAAGTTTAGAACAAAAAGGAAGGTCTCGTTACCCTTGGCCTAACAATTGGGAACTCCAAAGATTTATTTAAATGTTCCACCACCTTAGCTTGAAAATATTCATTGTCGCCATTTTTGACCGAAAAGGTAATATAGAAAATGAAGCCTTGACAGCCACCTTCATTAACCTTGAGAATACGGTCGACCTCATATTTAGTGCCCTAAAATGAAGAATAGAGGAACCTCGTTAGTTTTACAAAGAAAACAAGGAAAAAGAAAAACTACAAAGATAATGGGAAGTGTGAGTAGAGCTTACATTGTCCGTATTGTACTGCTCAAGTGCCTTTGCACAATGACCCTTCAACATTTCAACATTAGCAGGAGTGTCTAAGTAGTTAGTCATGGGGTAGATGCTAGTTATTGGACACGAACCGGGATAATCTTTAATGTCAAATCCCTATCAAAGTAAAAAAAATTAGAAACAAATATGTTTATTCTGTTGAAAAAAATGATATTTTTTCCAATAAAAGTGTTTTGTTTTACTGAGAAGAATCAACAATGAGCTGAACAATAGCAACAACAACAACAAGTAGAGATATGAATCTAAAATTCTCCATAAACTATGATAATCATAGAGCAAATAGAGAAAAGATACCTCACTCTCACGAATCTGCTGGAAGTACCTATCCCAAACAGCTTTATCCGCCTTTTTTTCACCGGGACCGACAGGGCAATATAAATCTTCAATTGCTTCATCGATATCCCAGTCGGGAAGGCTTGTATCTGAGAGAGAGTATGGTAAAGGTTGCTCACTTTCGCAATCGCTGGATTCTCCATCTTCCTCATCCACCTTTTGTTTCTTCAACGACGGCGGACAATCCGATTCGCTTGAGGATCCTCCGTATTGCCACGGCAGAGGCGATTGTGGCGGCGGCGACGACATGAACTGCTCGGAAGTAAACCTAAACTTTAATTTTACCCCAAAACTGTTAAAAAATCAATTTCAGAATTAACAAACGCAGTTAAAGTAGACGTAAATTTTAATTTAACCCCAAAACTTATTTGTGGTTTCTCATAAATAATTATCGTATTTATAGAGTTATAATTATTAAATTTTCCTTATTTGTAAATTGTAATAGGTAAAAGTTACCAAATTTTACTTCTTAAAAAAAATTAAGGGGCTAAACATATATTTAGATATACGTATAAGGGATTCAAATTAAAATAACTTAATCCAAGACAAAGTATAAGAAAATCACTTTTAGTTTTATAAATAATCAAAAGACTTTTTCATAGGTGATTGTGGCGAAAGATGCTTCTCCGTATACATTTTTGTAATTTTGGACAAAGTGGGTTGATGGGTATCGTTCGCCTTTCATTTGATACGCATTTTGATGCAAAATAGGCACGTGATTTAGACATTTAGCTATGTGAGAAATCGAACCCTCATTGATAATCAATCAATTAAACTATGAAGATACCCCTTTCAATAGCTATTAGACCTTGTTTTAAAAAATTAAGAATATTAATTATTGTATAAAATAATTAAGTTTTTTTGAAGACACATTTTGATGCTTTACATACTTAGTATAATTTCACAAGTGGAGGAGTGTGGGAATGGTAGAGTGTACAAGTTTACTCTATCCTATGAAGGTATAGAAGTTGTTTCTAATTGACTAAGTAAAACATATTAAATTAGATATGAAAATAATGGGGAAAAAAAAAACAGTAACAGTACCAAATAATATGATAATCGAAAAAAAGAACATGATGAGTAATACTAAAATCGAAGAGTAAGTTAATAAGAAAATAATTAACAATACAAAGAAGAAAAACTAGGCAATGCTCAACCATCTATTAACCTTAAATCCTAATTATCGACATCCATAGAGTATCGAGGGTTCATGTAGCTAAATACAATTAGCTTTTTGATTTTGAGGATTGTTGTGTGATTTCTCATATAGGAGGAATATAGCTGACCTCAACTAGCTTGTATTTGAGGCGCAATTGCGGATTCATCATATCCTAATATGTTTAGATTGAGTTTGAGGCATAGTTGTTGTAGTACATTATTATTCAAACTAAACAATAGAGACAAAACTAACTAAGAAGAGAGCAATTTACTAGTAATGATGTCCAACATTGACAAGAGTTGTTAACACAAAGCCAAAAGGATGCACAGACTTCACATTACTATATGTCCAAACCTCCCTTCACCTACATAAAAACACACAAGAGAGTTAGTAACTTGCAAATGCTGAAACTTAATAAGCAATCAAGAAGTAGATCAGGTTTTCCAAAACAATTTCTAGGTTCCCTTAATCCAAACCGAATATCATATTTACATTTGTTTTCTCACACAACACATGGAAAAACAGCAACCAGAGGAAGAATGAAAAATTATTTGATTTGACAACATGAAAGTTACATAATCACAAAGCAAAAATGAGCATTCATAATGTGATAAATTAACAGAACCATTTTGGGAGCGTGATTAGTTGAGCGTTTTATTTTTTGAAAATCAAGAGGTTAATAACATAGTAGTACAAACTATTTGAAAACACAAAAACATTCATATCGATCCACAGAGATTTCAAATGTTACCTAATAGGAAAGCGAGCTCTTGAATAAAGTTATAAGACATCTATCTAATCTTTTAAAAACGGAGAGAGTAAGGAGATCACAAATACATGACATCTAATCAAATTAATATCTTTAATTGAATCTTATGTCAAATTGTGTCGACACAAAGCTAGAAGAACTAAAGTGCTAATTCATTCTATGAGATATTTAAAGTTTAGAAACAAAAAGGAAGGTATAGCATATCTCATTACCCTTGGCCTAACAATTGGGAAATCCAAAGATTTATCTATATCTCGCACCACCTTAGCTTGAAAATATTCATCTTCGCCATTTTTGACCGAAAAGGTAATGTAAAAAGTGAAGTCTTGTCCATTAACCTTGAGAATACGGTCGACCTCATATTTAGTGCCCTAAAATGAATGAATATAGAGGAACCTTATCAGCTTTATAGAGAAAACAAGGAAAAAGATAATGGGAAGTGTGAGTAGAGCTTACATTGTTGACATTGTACTGCTCAAGTGCCTTTGCAGCATAAACCTTCAACTTTTCAACCTCACCAGGATATTCTAAGTATTTAGTCATGGGGTAAATGGTAGTAAGAGGACCCGAACCGGGATAATCTTTAATATCAAATCCCTAAAAAAAAAAAACTCAATCAATTAAAAATAAATATGTTTGTTCTAAAAGTAAGTTTTGAATTTTTAATCCATATTGGAGGTTTCAAGTTCAAAACCCCTTGTCAGCGAAAGCAAGGGGTTTGTCTTCTGAATGGAGCTCGTCGCATCAGGCTTGCCTAGTGCGGGTTACCTCTCCTATGTGATTTGCGAGCTATTGCATAGAAGCGAAAGTTTTACCCTATGCGCACCCAAAGGATAGCAGCTGCGAATTTCCCTTGTCATAAAAAAAAAAAAAAAAAACCATTTTTTCCCAACAAAGTGTTTCATCTTAATAATAAGAATCAGCAATCAGTAAAAAGGCAACAAACTCTGAGCTGAACATTCAACAAAAAGAAGCAACAACAAGTAGAGATATAGAGCAAATAGTTATGGATGGAGAGAAAAGATACCTCACTCTCACGGATCTGCTGCAAGTACCTATACCAAACAGATTTATCCACCTTTTTATCATTGGGATCGATAGGGCAAAATAAATCTTCCATTAATTCTTCGATATCCCAGTCGGGAAGGCTTATATCTGAAAGAGGGGATAAAGGTTGCTCACTTTCGCAATCGCTAGATTCTCCATCTTCCTCATCCACTTTTTGTTTCTTCAACGACGGCAGACAATCCGATTCGCTTGAGGAACCTCTGTAATGCCGCGGCAGCGGCGATTGTGGCAGTGGAGGCGGCGGCGACGATGATTGTGGCGGAGGCGACGACATGAACTGATCGGAAGTAAACGTAAATTTTAATTTTACCCCAAAACTGTTAAAAAATCAATTTCAGAATTAACCTAACACCGTTAAAGTAGACGTAAATTTTAATTTTAACCCCAAAACTTATTTTTGGTTTCTCATAAATAATTATCGTATTTATAAAGTTATAATAATTATAAAATTTTCCTTATTTGTAAATTAAAATAACTCAACCCACGACAAAGTGTTAGAAAATTACTTTTAGCTTTATAAATATTCAAATGACTTTTAATAAGTGTAAAAATGGTAAACTTATTAGTGATATGAAACATGTATCTTAATAAAAATATGAACACTATGAAGATTGAAGACTACAATTACAAATTTATTAGCAGTGAGGAAATAATTGAGTTTTCATTCTTTATTAAAAAAATAATTAAATATACAACATTGTCATTTGCTATTTATTGTTAAATTTTTTTTAAAAAAAATAATAAGTTATATATAGAGATATTACTTAATTTAAATAAAATTTAATTGTTACTAAAATTCTATTAAGGTTAGTTTCTCTATTATGTACTATCAACAATATTTTGCTGTCAGAAATATCAAAAAATTATGATAATTAAACGTTTGTTACTTAACGATTCTTTTAAACAAAAAAAATGATGGTCTCTCATCTCTAGATTAAAAAAAATTGATATATAGTATTGAGGAGTATCTGCAGTCAAACTTCTTATATGAACAAGAGAACAAGATTAGTTGTTTATAATTTAAACCTAGAGCTTAATCCCTTGAAAATACATTGCTTATAAATAATAGATAATGATATTTTGATTAGATATGGCTTCACATATTGAAGAATTTATTTTTTAGATGATACTTTCAATTAAAAAAAATTATTCTTGAAGTCTCAAACTTAATATTTCTGATTAAGAGTGGATAGATCACAATAATTCCATTACAGTCCATATTAATCTAATATTTTTTTACCATGTTCATAAATCGCCCCCTCCTATCCTAAATAAGTGATTTAGATTTTGACCTACTTAATAAGAAACTGTATGATTGCATTAATTATGAGGATCATTTGACTAAGGTACTCTATATATATTTTCTCAAATTACACTCTGTATATATCTTTAAGATAGTAGACTTGAACAAAAAACATAATGTCTTTTTGATATTCTAAAATGATATTTATTCTTGGCCGAAAAATATATAGGAGACTAAGTTTTGTATCGGAGACAACACTAGAAGAATTGAAATGTTAATTCATTCTATAGGATATTTAAAGTAAAGAAACAAAAAGGAATGTATAGCAGATTTCATTACCCTTGGCCTAACAATCGGGAAATTCAAAGATTGATTTATATGTCGCACTAGCTTAGCTTGAAAATATTCATTCTCGCTTATTTTTTACCAAAAAGGTAATATAGAAAATGAAGTATTGACATCTACCTCCATTATCGTCCTTGAGAATATGGTCAAACTCATTTTAGTGCCCTAAAATAAATTTAGAGGAACCTTATCAGTTTCTAAAAAAAAAGGAAAAAGATAATGGAAAGTGTGAGTAAAGCTTTACATTGTTCTCATTTTAGTGCTCAAGTGCCTTTGCAACATAACTCTTCTACATTCAACATGAGCAGGAGCTTCTATGTATTATGAAAAAGTAAATTTGATTCACTTATGAAAAAAACATGTAAACATGGTTCCCTAATGGAACTCACACGTTAGTGTATCAACACAATATTCGAGCCAACTAGAGTTAGTAATCATATTAGACAAGGTATCCGAACCAATCGTTAGTATTCTTGTATCGGCTTGGTACCGAGCCAACCAGCAAACACAAAAAAATCATGCACAATCACAATGAACAATAACCCTTGAAATTCACAAGTCATATAGCATGTTCATTGCATGAGATTATCAACATACATAATGGTATTTTATATGCTTCCCATTTCAGGACTTTTCCATGTGAATTGCAGTAAATAAATCGAGAACAAATATTCTTGAGATTAGCCAAGGTCTTATACCCTTAAATCCTCATAAATCTGAATTTTTAACACCTTAAAATGAATTCAAGTCATCCCAAGGGCCAAAATTATATTTTCTTAGCCCTAGAAATCGAACTACAACAATAGAGGATCAGATTGCTCATTTTTATGAAGATTTTTTATGAATATATGTTGAAATTTTTCCTAGAATTTCCTTTTTCTTCTTCAAAACGTTCTTGAGTGATAATGAGCGATTTTGGAAATTTTATTTTCTATAGCAACCTCGCAGCCCGAAGCGACTACCTTTTTTTTTCCACCGGATAGACATTTGAGATCACTAGAAAAATAGAATAGATACAATGTTATTTATGACAACAAAAGATATAATATTACATAAAATTAAAATCACTACATATACACAACTAAAATAATGTTATTGAGTACTTCCTGAAAAAAGTATCATAGGCAAGTATTGAATTTTCAGGCCTTAAGCTGTGTTATTTCTTTCGTCTTTTTGTCATGACAAGAAATTCAAATCAAACTATTAAAAATTTTGCCCACTTAATTCTTCTGGCCACAAAACGAAAATGGAAGAGTAAGTGAGTAGCTAAAAATCCTCAAATTGCTAAAAATCAAGAGTTCTTCACATTCAAAAAGCAATAACTAGCCGTAAAAGAAAAATAGAAAACTGGAACAGACCATAAAGATGAGAGTTTTTTTTTAGGAGATTAAATAATATAAAGAATTACAATACTAACAATTACACATACCGAATCAGGTGGACATTTGCAATTACTTCTTTCCATAATATAGTGATATTTTTCTTCCTCTATTATGACTTGTTTCTTAGCAAATATGTTAAGTCATCTTACGGGATAATACGAAACATTCCTTTTTTATCTAGATTTCCCTCAAGATCAAACATTGGATAGTGTTTAAAGGTGCAATTCAATAGTTGTTGTTTTGATAGTGGAATAACATCTCATTTTCTTATAATGGCATCCACCGTCGTTATTGATCCTTTTCTTCTTAAATATAGATTTTCAAATTTGTCCCTTTTTACTGACAATAGAAAATCTTAACGGCCTTTGAAATGGGAAAAAAATAGGGAAAATACATAAAAACACTCTTGAACTTGGCAGCAAAACTCACTTTAGCACCTTAACTTTACAGGTAATTATTTATCCCCCTAAACTTATTTCAAATGATTTTAATAGCACCTTACACATACAATACCAGTTTCATACTTATGGGTGAAATACACACGCGCCACTTAAGCACCACCTCTATGCCACATCAATGACACGTCAGATAATTGAAAAAAAATATACTTTTTCTATATTTTTATTTCCCTAGATTTTAAAAAAAAATTATTTTCACTATTCACCCATTATCTTCATTATTTCATTTGGGTCAATTTCTTAACCTCTAAAATTCTGACCGATTCATTCTATTTTCATTACTTTGTAATGATTTATTATTACTTCCATTAATCTCTTTTTTCAGCTAAGTGAAGCTTCAACTTACATCAACAATGGCGCTTTTAGATTTGTGCAAAATCAGTGTGCTTAACTTTTTAGATTTATTGTTAGTTTTCTTGTTTAACTTCCTAATACATATCCAGGTATAGAATAAGTAATGTTTAAAGTTAGATGATTAATTATTTTTTAAGGTTCTGACACTTTGTTAATTCTTTATTAATCAAATCATAGTTGAAATTTTTTAAAGATTTGCTATTTTGATTTGAAATTTTCTCTTTTATTATAAATATAAACTACTTAGAAGAAGGAGAAAATCGGAGATAAAGGATGCATAGAGGAATGAGAGGAGGGGGTGTGCAAGTTGTGAGGAAGAAGAAATAATTAAAAAAAAAGAAAGAAATAAGTTGGGTTTGGGGTGATGGGTGCAAGGAAGAAGAAGAAGAAGAAGAAATGGGAAAAAAATTGTATTGGCTGGAAAGGGAAAAAAAAGGCCCCATTTAATTTATTTTTTCTTTATTTACGCGCTGATGTTTTTGAAATTTGCCACGTCAGCCATCCGGGTGATATTAAATTCACTTGTAATAAGATTAGGGGGGTAAATAATTACCCGTAAAGTTAAAATGTTAAAGTAAGTTTTGCTGCCAAGTTCAAGGGTGTTTTTATGTATTTTCCCAAAAAAATATAATATGTCAAAAGCTAAGAAAAAGAAAGAAAACGAAATTAAATATATTATTAGTACAAAAGAAGTCGGAAAAAAAGGCGAAAGGATCTCATCATCAATACACAATGCGTCTCTCTCGGTTCCCTCTTATATTTATCTCCAAATAATTTCCAAATTATGTTTTATTTTTAGAATTTTTTTTTTCTTAATCACAATATTTTCTACATTTTTTGTTTTGGAAAGAAAAGTTCAACAAAGGTGAGAATGATGTTTTTATTTTACGTGTTTATGTTCATGTCATGATGTTTTTATTTTGAAGCATGTCTTTTTTTCATTAGTTTGATATTCATTTTGGGATTCGATTAATCAAAATTTGTAACAAAATCCACTTTAGGATAAACGTTCCTCCAGTTTCAACCTCTCTGGTTAATGACGATAGACACTTAGTAGAAGCATGTATATGAACTATATATAGGAAATGTGAATAGATTCGATCCTTTGAATTAAATTGTTGAAATGACAATGAATTTAATCTTCGTTTCGCAAGAATTTTCTAGTTTTACATGTTCATTTTCTTGTGATTGTATTAGATTTTTGGTTATTTATAGCAAAAAATAATAATTATTGTTTTGGAATTCAAATTGAACTTTTAAGTTGTATAGTAGTGTTAACCTGTATAAGGTTGATTTTTCGTATAGCCAATCAACTTACAGTCATTACGTTTTATAGTTATTATTTTTTAAAATCACTTTCTTTGTTGTAGAAAATCAGAATAAAAAAGAAACATGACTTTCTAAGATAAATGAATTAGTGTTCCTAGAAATCTTTTCTTGAAAACAAGTGACTTTCTTACTTATTATCTCAAGAACAATTATATATAATCTATCAAAACAAAATGAGGTTGGAATGGGGTAGTGACTTTCATTAGCCTTGTTTTTCAGTTGTTGATAACTTTTTACTTGTTTGAAAGTTTTAGAAAATGGCTGACGTTGAGGATATTCAACCTCTTGTTTGTGACAATGGGACTGGCATGGTTAAGGTAACAAATTTGCTTTGCAAATGTCGTCGTTTTTAATTTGCTTTGTGAATATACAATTTGATATTGTATATCTTTTCTTTCTTGCAGGCAGGATTTGCTGGAGATGATGCACCTAGGACTGTTTTTCCTAGCATTGTTGGGCGTCCGCGTCATGCTGGAGTGATGGTAGGAATGGGACAGAAGGATGCATATGTTGGTGATGAGGCTCAGTCGAAACGTGGTATTCTTACACTAAAGTATCCAATTGAACATGGCATAGTGAATAATTGGGATGACATGGAGAAGATTTGGCATCATACATTCTATAATGAACTTCGAGTTGCTCCAGAAGAACATCCTGTTTTGCTTACTGAAGCACCTCTCAACCCTAAGGCTAATCGAGAGAAAATGACTCAAATAATGTTTGAAACATTCAATGCCCCAGCAATGTATGTTGCTATTCAAGCTGTTTTGTCTTTGTATGCTAGTGGACGTACAACTGGTAAGATATATTTACTTTCTTTGTTTCGAATGTTAATTTGCCTTTCGTGCTTCTATGTTTTCTTCCTCTATCGTTTTCCTCCTTTTCATAATGATTTGCTACACTTTAGTGAAAGGGTACTTCGAGATGTAAATAGTGAATTGTAGTCAAATATAATTCATGTTTTCTTGCAGGTATTGTGTTGGATTCTGGAGATGGTGTGAGCCACACAGTTCCTATATATGAAGGTTATGCACTACCTCATGCCATCCTACGTCTCGACCTTGCTGGTCGTGACCTTACTGAGTACATGGTGAAGATTCTTACTGAACGCGGATACTCTTTCACTACTACTGCTGAGAAGGAAATTGTAAGGGATGTGAAGGAGAAATTGGCATACCTTGCTCTTGATTTTGAGCAGGAACTTGAGACAACCAAGACAGGCTCTGCTGTTGAGAAGAACTATGAACTGCCTGATGGACAAGTGATTACTATTGGTGCTGAGCGTTTTCGATGTCCTGAAGTTCTTTATCAACCTTCTTTGATCGGAATGGAAGCTGCTGGAATTCATGAGACAACGTATAATTCTATAATGAAGTGTGATGTTGATATTAGAAAGGATTTGTATGGGAACATTGTGCTTAGCGGTGGGTCAACTATGTTTCCTGGCATTGCTGATAGAATGAGCAAGGAGATTCAAGCCTTAGCACCAAGTAGCATGAAGATCAAAGTGGTTGCTCCCCCTGAAAGGAAGTATAGTGTCTGGATTGGAGGTTCAATTTTGGCATCCCTCAGTACCTTCCAACAGGTAAGCATTTTCCTTCCGTTATTTTTACTAGCTCGACTAATCTGGATTCACACTGTAAAAACCCCCACTATGGAGGGTCTTACCCGACCTACCATAGAGAGACATTTCCTTCATTTGTTTGGGTTTAACAACCTAGTTCCCGAAATTCACTAGCTCGACTAATCTGGATTCATACCATAAAAATCCTAGTATAAAAAGGGTTTTGCCTACCCTACCAAAGTGAAGCATTTTCCTTCATTTTTTTGGTTTAACCACCTGGTTCCCGAAACCTACACTAGCTCGACCAATTTGGATTCGAATCGTAGAAATCCATTATGGGCTTTTTTTGGGCTCCTACCAAAGAGGGGCATTTTCCTTCATTGTTATACATGTGTGTTTGATTTTCAACTAATTGAGTTATTTATCTTTTTGTTGATAATGATGATGACTAACATATTTATCATTGTTTGGATTTGTAGATGTGGATTGCTAAGGCAGAGTATGATGAGTCTGGCCCCTCCATTGTGCATAGGAAGTGCTTCTAATCAGAACAAATGTGGAGTCTGGGTTCAACATGTGAGTTTCTAATGGCAATTTTAGTCCTCTTCTTTTTGTTTTCTTGGTGACTCGAACTAACAATCTTTGAATTCGAGACAGAAAATACTTACTATTTGAGCAACCCTTCTTATCACTTGGGTTAATTGGTCGTTGGATTTAATTTGTTACTTACTAGGAGTATTAATCAATTGTAACTGGTCTAGAACATCATCAAATATTAATTTGTGATAGACCTTGAAGCTATTTTCTTAACAAAGAGTTATTGCATAAAAATAGGAATAAAGTTTGCATACATTTTTTTTCTCTACATATATGTTAGAATGGTAAAGTCCAGTGACACTTATGAAAAATTATAGACATTAATATTTTATTAAATGGTTAGGAATCGTAAAAGAGTTTGGTAGTTGCAAATCCATCTTAAAAGATCATTAAATAATACAATATATTCAAAATAGTTTCTTAAATACACTTTTCGTTTACTTTTACTTGTTCAGATAGTACTTCATAGTTCACATGCTCTTAAGAAACAATGGTTGTCACGAATATTTTATCACAATACACATTTTCTCCTAATATGCTAAAAGTGAAAATATATTTTTAATACAGTGAACAACTAAAAATAAACGAAAAAAATATATTTAGGAGGAGTATTATCGGTTTTTTAACCAAAAAAAAAAAAACATATCATGAACTAAACGACGTCGTTACTTTGAGCTGCTGTAGAATTTGGGTATCCCAATTTCTGTATCAGGGAAGACCCAAATTGCAGAAAGATCCGAACTTGAGAGGAAGGAAGAAGAGGGAATACAAGAATTGTGGTGAAAAAATGGGTAAAATTGCAGTAGCAGTGATTGTAAGTTCATGGGTAGTAGCTGTATCCATCCTCGTCAATCGTATTGTCACTGAACCTTACATGGTAATCAAGTATTCTTGTTTAATATGAATGTAATTTATTGATTTGATAATCTTCTATGGATTTTGAGCTGAGGGTCTATCGGAAACAACCCCAATTGTGGGACTACACTGGGGATATGTTGTTGTTGTTGTTGTTGTTGGAGGTGTAATGTGGATATGGATGATTTTGAATCTTTTGAGATCCCACTTGTGGGATTACACTGGTTACGTAGTTGTTGTTGGAGGTGTAATGTGGATATGGGTGTTTTTGCAGGATGAGATATTCCACATACCTCAAGCGCAACAGTATTGCAAAGGCAATTTCAGAAGTTGGGATCCCATGATCACCACCCTCTGGGGCTGTACGTACTATCTCGTTCTTCTTCTGTTTCGTATGATTACTTGCTTCGTCGTTGGTTTAGGTAGTGTTGTCAAAATTGTTCCTGCTTTGTACTGTAACTTCAGAGAGCATGTAAAATAGGGAGTAAATTACATGTTGCATTGGCCTCTTGGAGTCGATATATTGTAAATGAAATGTTATAGTATTAGCTTCATATAGTCAATTTTTCCTGATGAGTTGGGAATATGTTGTATGGCAACAAGTTGAGAGCTTTTCGTCAATTCGTTTCTTGATCTTTTTGGTGTTAAATTATGGTTCAGAGCTACATCGACTAAATAGCGAGATACATGATCTAGTTAGGGTGGAAACCAAACATGTCTGCTTGGAAATAGGAATTGCACATGCCATGCTTCTTCCCAATCTTACAAGAGCTTGAACACTTTATGTATCTATAAATGGGTCTTTTTCCTTTAATTGATTGCAAAATGTCTATTGTTTTTCTTTTTAAGTATAGCTTTACTTTGTTTGATGATCTTAACTTAGCAAGTGATTTCTTCATAAATGAGTTATTGGTAGTTGGTACCAGTCTTACAATCTTTCTCCACAGTTATCATGAAAAGTGGCTTACAGGAAAAGTCTATGCAAAGAGTAAGTATGAAGAAGGACCTGTAGTGTACTAGTGTTAGAGAACCCCAAGTTATTGAATGTTGGAGCGAACAAGTCCAATAGAGTAAATTAGAGGTCTCAAAACAACCTACCCCAATTTCAGTAGTAGTTGTAGTAGAATGTTAAATCTTGGGTAGGAGAGGTTTTCTCTGTTCATTGTTTGCATGTACTTCTAGTTGCAAAAAATGAGTATGTTATGTATGATTTGTAAGAGGACAATATCAGTCTAGTGCATGTAGACTCTGTATTGAAATTCCAGTAATTTTGTCCTTTTCCCTTGTCCTCCTTAGTGACTAAGGCTAGAGACGTACATGTGATGTGGTGTTTTGCTAGAAGCCTTTCTAGTCTTCTTAAAGACTTGTATGTCTGTGTAAGGATAGGTATGAGATTAATAGAGTCTTTAGCTTTAGAGAAATCATTATTTGCCTTAAAATACAGATTAAGTAGTATTGGAATGAAAATGGGCTCATCTAGAGCGAATTGGATTTAGATGATTCATATTGCAATTAGTTCGTTAAGGTGCAGTTGATAGATGGAGTAAACCAAAAGGAAATAAATTAATACTCTTTATTTCATTTTACATGACACTCTTTCCTTCTAGACTGTTTCAAAAGAATGGAACTTTTATATTATATTTGATTCGTTTTTAGTTTAAACTACATATTCTACCCTTAATTAGATGCCCTTATAGCCATAGAAATGGAATGGCATGTAAGGACTACAAGTTCTAAGGGTACTTTTGGTTCGATCTTTCTTTCTTCCTTCAACATTTTGCCCAGTCAAACTGTCAAATACCACTATATAAAATGAATTGGAGGGAGTGGTAGCAATATAATTTACTAACACCCATCTAACATTACTTATTATTTTTATAGATGGTGCAATTCCACATCCATTCCCAAATCGTGTCGGATTGACATGGGTGAGGCATGATTTGATGGGTCCGAGCAACATAGATGGTGCATTAGCCATACCATTCTTCCACCCATTCCTTCCAGTTTGTCATCTACTCCCACACTGCTTAAAATTCACTAAGGATAAGTACATATGTATAGTAGTGTTTGTCTACATAGGCTAGCTTCATGAGTTGGTATTATGTTTTCCACATCCACAGTTTTGAGTTTTTTTTGGGTTTCCATTATATAGGGGCACCGAGTGTTGGTTTTGAAATATAAGGAGCGTTTTTGCAATGAAGTTATATTGGGTGGGGATTTCAGTAAGTTACTTTGAACAATGTTCCCCTGTCCGAAAAGATAGTTCCACTTTCCCTTTTGGCAGTCCCTGAGTGATGCCTATTTTCTCTAATAGGAATCTTTATACAATTGGACTCTCTTATCCACTTAACTCAATACAGCTTATTTTTCTTTTTTAATTCTTGTTTTTTTGGTAAGGTTAACCTTACTTCACAAAAAAAAATGGCAGTAAGGAACCTCTTTCTAATAAAGAACTCCATAAACAGAAAGTTCAACAATGGATCCACATATTCCTGCAGTAAATAATCACTGATATGCTAGGTCAAATAAGATAATAAATGAGATGGACTGATGGAGGGTCCAAAAAAATCAATAGATCTTTGGCAACGTGGTTCAATGTTAGTGAGTATATGTTAGCTAAATGCTATATAACATCATCAAATGATTTAAAGGAATTCTCTCAGATTTGTCTCTTTTGTTTTTCAAAGACAAAAAGGGATATAGATAACAGATAAGGATACAGATAAAAGAGTGGAGCTAGCTGATATCGCATAAATTGTGCCATGGCCTTGATCCATGTTAGATATGAAAAGAAATGTTCTCTAAGATGATTCAGTTGAAAAAACACTATAGATTTAACTGATAAGGGAATTTAATGCAAATAATTTAAAACTTTTGCAGGTACATTGTTTCACTTGCCTATGTTGCTTCTTTGTTTCCAGGGATATTCTCTATGAAAGCAGATGTTTCGTTTTCAGATGCTTGTTCCTCTTCCATCCTACGCTCCAGCAATGGTGTATTGGCTATATTTTGCAGCATGATGGTTTACAACATACTTACCCACCTCAGACCTTCTCTTACTGACAGAAAAGTAACTCTTCGGACGGTTGTCCTTGCATTGTATCCCCTTCACTGGTTCTTCACTTTCCTTTATTATACAGATGTAGCATCGCTAACTGCTGTATTGGCATCATATCTTATGAGTCTTAAGAAGAAATATTTCTTCAGTTCCCTGGTAAGAGGATCAACTCAATCCCATCTAATTCTTTCTAGTTGATAATAATGGGGAGCAAAGTTATAAAATTGACTTTTATTCAAACTCTTTATAGCCCATTCCTTGTCATAGAATTGTTTTCTTCTTTATAACTTTTGCGATTAATATCAATCGAAAGCTTTAATGTTGTTCCAAGAATAGATTCTGCACTTTACTTATTCCAAGGATATATGTCATTTTGACATCTGACAAATTGCTGATTACTGTATACCACATGTAAGACCGCAGTGTGCTTTGAGTACTGTATTTTATTGTTGCCTCCACTTGAGCTGTATCAGAAGAATAACAATACTCAACAGTAAATACGGGGAGGGAGAGAGAATAAAAGAAACAGTAACTATAATTCTAACTTCATAACAATTTATCTTCCTCTCAAGCCTGATTTACTTTAATGCTATTGTTTTGCATGCTATGGATAGTTCTATTTAATGATCAGATATTGAATTTGACCATGTTGTTTTTCTAATTGAGAAGTTAACAGTGTTTTCATACATCTGAAGGTTGGGGCTTTGGCTGTGCTGATACGACAAACAAATATCGTATGGATCCTTTTCATAGCATGCACTGGGGTTTTAGACTATATTTTAGGTCAGCCGAAGGATAGTGCCGATTTGACTGATTCTAGTCAATCACAAGGTAAAGATGCTTTCCCAGTCTCGAGTCAAGGTGTTGGAACACACTCTAACTTGAGAAAGCGCAGAATCCACAATCAGGCAGCTACATTTAGCTCTCCTATCCACCAAAAGATTGCTTCGTCAGTGCCTTCCTCAGGTTCTGTCTTCTTATCTTGTTTCAAGTTTTTTTTTTTAATCTGCATTTGTGTTGTGTTAGGACACATGATAGCATCTGTTGATTTATGTTGTGTAGGACACGTGATACGCATCTTCTTTTTGATAAGTAGTTTCTGTTCAGTGATCTAAAGTAACATTGAATAAAAACAATACAATCAAACACCATTTTGGAGCACATCAAGTTAAAAAAAAAAACATTTAAAAAAAAAGAATAATACATCAAGTTCAATTTTACAAGCTATCAAGCGTTTCTTTATGAGGTGAAATATCCAAAAGATTTACTTGCGAATCGGCATCATGAAGATTTAATTTATCTGTTGTAAAAAAACCTGGTAACCATGGATGACATGAGGGAATAAAATACTCCACTCGTTCTGGCATCCTACAGAGATACTTTTGGTTGTGCTTTTGTAAAAATTTTCTTTCTGTTAGAACACCTCAATCCAGAGTATGGAAGTTGGTGGGGGCGGAAAAGGAACTCTTATTACTTGAAATAATTACTTGGATGTACAAATAATTTCCCTAGTGATATAGTTTACTTCAATTGTTAGGTAATATTACGTACTACTTAACAAGAGAAACTTGCTATTTTGGTCTTTTGACAACCTGTGGTTCTAGTCTAAATACTCTTAACCCTCACTAAATCAAATTTTAGGCTTTTGATCCCAGCATTAATAAATTCTTACAAATATAATGTATTTCTAATTAGTATCCAAATTCCCTTTGATTTGAGGGAATCTGTTAGGAGATCAAAAACAAAGTTAGATAAACTGAAGGAACACTCCTTGCTGCTAACATTCTTATGAGAAGTGTGTCATGTGGAAAACTTGCTTCGCATGTTTGAAGCATCCATTAAATGTTAACCAGAGTGGCTATCATGTTCACAAACACATTTACAAGAAATTCTTCAATTGATTATGCTTGGTACAGACATGTAAGCTTTTCTTGTCAAATGGCATGGTATAGACTGGTAAGCTGTTCGGGCTCATGCATAGTTATCCTTTCTTGCATATTAGTTGTTGGCAATGCGATTTAGGTTCCTTTTGTATATGTCATCTTAGTGTATAAGAGATTACATTCCTTTTTCAGATTTCTCTCATGAGGTGCGTGAGATTATCTCAAGACTCTGGCAATTTAAGTGGGAGATTATTGCATCGTTTTGGCCTTACCTCGTAATTATGGCCGCTTTCATCACCTTTGTTTTCTGGAACGGGAGTATAGTGCTTGGTACCAACTCTCACTTTTGTAGTTTTGTTTCTTTATGGTCTCTTCCATTTGTTAACCGTGCGTGCACACACTTCTTTTCCCATCCTTGTGCTATCCAGGTGCAAAAGAGGCTCACACGGTTTCTCCACATTTTGCACAATTGATGTATTTTAGCTTGATTTCTGTGCTGTTTGTGACTCCCGTGCACTTCACAATTGGTCAGGCTGCAGCACTGGCCCGATCATTCTGGAAGAAAAATAAGCTGGTCAGTTTCTTTCAGTTGTGCACGGCATTAGCTGTTGGGTTCCTTTCAGTGCACTTTTTCAGGTTAGATGAATGGCTTTGTAATTTTCTAAGTTCAGTTGCACCATCCTTATACCCTCCCGTCCCTTTTCCTCTCTTTCGTGCAATTCATCACTTTTTTGTCATGCTGTACAATCTATAACATAATTTTTCCATTCTTTCTTCTATGTTGCATCAAAGATTTAGGGTGTGCTCGGTATGAAGGAAAATGTTTTCCTTCATACCGAATACATAATGGCGTCCATTTCTAATAAATTCTAGCTGTATGCACATCATTTTCTTTTTTTCTGATTTGGATTTGATATCTAATAATTGGTTCCTTGCAAGAATGAAACACAATAGTTTGGCATTCAAGTGACCAGGAAATGGTAGTATACATATGTGACATGATATATTGATATTGCAGCATTGCTCACCCCTATCTTGTCGCTGACAATCGACACTATACCTTTTATCTGTGGAGAAAAGTAATCAAATTTCATTGGTCAATGAAGTACCTCCTGGTTCCACTCTATGTATATTCATGGATCTCCATCTTCAATATCTTGGGTCAGTAAAGCACTCTGTCCTATTCTAACCTGTGCATGCTACAATACATCCCTAGCTCCTACTCGGAATCAAAGAAAAGAAATTTTTTGTTCGTAATTCTAGTTTCTTTTAAACATATTCTTGTTTCCCTCTATTTGCAGCTAAAAGTCAGAGGAAGACATGGGTACTGGTATATTTCTTGGCTACCGCTGCAACACTGATTCCAGCTCCACTTATAGAGTTCAGATACTATACAATCCCATTCTTTTTCTTGATCCTCCACTCTCATGTTGATGATGACAGAAGTTGGCTTCTGATGGGAATCCTATATGTTGCCATTAATATTTTCACTATATATATGTTCTTGTTCCGTCCGTTTTCTTGGGTCCACGAAACTGGTGTACAGAGATTCATATGGTAGCAAGATACTCAGGAGAATTCAACAAGTTTTGATATGCTGCACCAGTGTTCTGGCTGTACCTGCAGATCCCAATTTGCTCAACTTTTGAAATGTAGTTTAGGATAATTTTTTTGTAGAATGATGCTATATTGTACAAGAACTTTTTTAGTATAAAAAATGAGTGGTAAAAGGAATTTGTTTCAATCAAAACTAGTGTCTTAACCATTGAGGTTGTTTTACTAGTTCATAATATTACATTTCCTTTTTTTTCTTTTGGAATTACATATTCGTTCTATAATTCTCTCTTTGTCGTTTTATATGATGGTGTTTGATTGTAACAGAGAGCAGAGGTGGACTCAGGATTCGAAGACAATAGGCCACCACTAGAATAAATAAACAAAAGCAAAGTGGAATAGAGAAAATTCTTATTGCTAATTCCAACTAATTTGGAATTAGGACAAATTAAAGTTAATTCATTAAGGGTGTGTTTGGTAATGGAGGAAAATAGTTTTTAATTTTATCATGTTTCGAAGAATATTTTCTTTAAATTTAAAAAATAAAGAAAATGACTTTTTTTTAGTACGGGATATTCCAAGTTAATTGTCTCCGCTTCATCCTATTTTTTTATTTTTTTTAAAAGAAGTGTTCTGTTTGAAAGTTGAACATTAAGTATGAATTGAATTAATTGTGTAAGAAAAGTAGTACTCACTATGTATTTTGTTTTAGTCAATGAAATGACATTACTTTACACGTTTTTTATGCTTAACTGTTACATTAATTCATTGTATCTGGTTACAGAATGATATGTATTTATATCTTATATCGTGGAGCCAAAAATTTTATTAAAGGAGTTTAAAATATAAAAAATAAATATGCGAATAATTTAATGGGGTTTTGCATGTATAATATTTATCTAAAAACAAATTTTAACCATATATAAATGGTATGATTTTCTACTGAATGAGATTCGAATAAACCCCCTTGACCCTTTCTAATATTCAAAATGTCGCTTAAGTATGTGAAATTATTTAGTAAAGTCACTAAATTTAATTTTATATTAATAAATTTACTCAACTTATATCTTACAAAAATCATTGCACGTGATTTATCGTAAAAAGCTCTAACATGACCTGATATAAAAAATCGAACCAACCAGTAAATCTGATAAATCAAAATGTCAAATTAAACTCTCATAACATCAAATATTATCAAAAGTCAATTATGCAGCAAATTTTAATATATTTCAGCAAAATTATCATTTTATTAATATACCTTAATGGGGAAGGTTAAATTAATACTTCCTCTATCCTTATTTACTTGTCAAATATTGTCAAATTTGATTTTTATTTTTACTTATTATTTTTAACAAATCAAGAAAGGATATTTCTTTTCTATTATACCCTTAATTCATTAACATTGAGTTAATGTCTTTGAAAAATGTTGTGAGTAAATATCTTTGAAATACTATATTAATCACTGTTTTCTTAATAAGTGTGTCAAATTAAATTTTGACAAGTAAATCAAAACGGAAAAAATACTCGACACGTAAAGATCGATGACGGGAATACTTTTTTAAAGGATATGTTAAGTAAATATGAGTCAAATAATATGAAACGGAGAAATTATCAATTTAGAAAAAATTTCAAGACAACCTAATTGCATGACGTTAGTACATACAAATATAGAAAGTAGGAAGTAAATGATGGGACCCTTTTTGCCAAAATATTCCTATTTGATTCAATTAACTAATTGTGTGTACAAACCTAAACCATATATGGTTGGATTACAAATAAATCATTTTCATATTGGACTATTCTATTTTGGAATTTTTTTTAAAAAAGTTAATACTCCATTTGTGATTTTTCTTAATATTTTAGTTTGGTCAAAGATTGCTTCACATCTTGCATTACCTACACCTTTTATAATTAATATTGACAACAATGAAGTCTAACTCAAATGACATGATTAAACCTTATAAGTTTTTTAAATGTTTTTTTTTTACTGAAAGAATACGATGGTTAAATATTTAAAATTATTAGAAATTGAAGAATCGTCGTATTCTTTTAGTTAAATATTATTAAGGGCATATATTGTATAGTTAATTCATTTTAAGTAGGTTGGGTTAAGAATTGGGTTGAATATAGAGTGGGTTAGGTTCTAAATATTGATTTTAATTTCTTTAAAAAAAAATTCCTAAATGTTATGTCATTAAATAGATATCAAAAATGGTATTTTTGACTTAAATGATCAGGGAAGCTAACCAAACAAAATTGAATGATTATGAAAGATAATTAAGCAAAGTTTAATGACTTGTGAAAGATATAATAAAATTGAGTGATTTTGATGACTAATTATTATAAATTGAGTGTTCATTATGATTTAAGGAACAAGTAATTATCTCTAAAATATAATGTGAAATTAAACAATGATGGTTTATTGCTAGATAAGTAGATATACTTTTTTGATAGATGCTTGGTTCATTAGATTAAAAATGGGATATATCATATATGGGTATAAATATAAATACCTATTTAGTCTAAATTGGATAAATTTCATTTACAAATGTAACCTAGTCTTCTTAAAATGATTGGGAGAAATCCCAAAATTTTTATAATTGTGGTATAAACAATCTTAGAATTGCTAATCGAGAAATCAAATGTTGTACTACCAAAATTATAGGAGAAAAATTAAAATAATCCCAAAATTTATCCCACATTACTAAAAAAAAACATTATATTTTTATTAAAATTTTCTATTGAAAAATATTTGGTGACTATTTTCACATATACTTTGATAGAATTGGTGAGAAAATAGAAAATAATAGTGTTCTCATACGAAAAAACTAGGAAACTAACAAATATTTTAGTGAAAATATGTTTTCACCATGTATTTTTCAAATGATCAGTTGGTTCAGTGAAAAATCATGTTTTATAGCACAAATTTCCCGTCAATTTCAAGTAAATCCTCCCTCCCCTTTGCTCTTCATTTCCCTCATTTTATCTTTCCTTCCACTTGCAAAAAAAAAGTTATGAGAGTGATTTTGTGTGCGTTAGCGATCATCAAATAACTAATATCACGATAGAAAAAATCTTTATTTCTAATAATAACAAATCTCTTGTTCAACCAACCATACAACCTCTTAATGTTTACAACTACTATTTTTTTAAGGATTTAATTATCCTTTTTCTTTTCTCACAAGATATTTGCAACTAATTATCACAAAAAATCAATAGTGTATTTTTCATTTGGTAATAAGTGATGTTGATAGTCCAAAAATCAAAACCAACTCCTCTTTGTCCTTTGAACATTTATTATTTTCATCTTTTTATACTTCCATTAATAAAATCACGAGATTTTAGAGATACCTAAACCACAAGCAACTGTCAAATAATAATATTTTTATTTTTAGCTTTTATTTCGAGAAGTTGACTTTCTACCTTCATGTTAATATATCCTATTTTATTGTACATGCAACGTATACATATAATATTTATTGATCCAAACCTACCCAACCTCCACTTTTCCCCCCTTTTTTCTATTTTTTTTCGATTTTAACCATCTGATATTCGAAGTCAACTATCATAAGAGGTGGTGCTAACAAAGTTATTTATACTTTTTTCTCTATCCTGTGTTGGTTATCAAATTATGTTTCGCATAATAAATAACTTTTTCATGGACATAAATTTATATTTTCATATTATAATATTGTATAAGTTATGTTCAAATATGACTTCAATTTCTAAATTGTATTTCATAAGTTATGTTCGGATATAACTTCGATCTCTAAATAATTTATATCTAAGTAAATTTGATTGCTAGAGGGTAAAAAAAATTAAAACAAGCTCATTTGAAGGACAAAATATGCAAGGAGATGCAATTGACGAAAGGTAATTAGTATTGAACATTGTTGACCATCAAAAAAATTGTATATCAAATCAGTAGCATCTTCTGATGAAGGTTGTTCAACTGACTATCATTCACTTTAATGTGGCTACACCATTATCCATTGCTATTGACCCGACTAATAATACACATTCACAGAGAGTAAATCTTTCAAGAGATATAAAATGTTTTTTATCAAAAAATAGAAATACGAGATATCTGATTAATTACGAAGAGATGATGAGAACCATCCCAACACGATGGTGATTTATTTATTGTTAATGTTAATTACATCATCATCTAACAAAACCTCCAATCAACAAAGCTAAAAGAACAAAGACAACCTTAATGCAATCTTTTTTGTCTTCTAGCTTTTAGTCAACTTATTTCCCTTTTGTTTCTCTTTCTTTGCTTCTAGTTTGTTTTTACGAGTCATGCATTATTGTATACTATAATAGGCGTTTACTAACGTAAGTAAACCAAATATGCTGTTTTTTTCTGAATATTTCATAGGTCACAAGTATGACTTTTATAAATCGCCAGTCTGATCGAGCAAATTGAGCAGATGATCTCCCAAATTAAATACAGAGTCTTGGGTTTGCATATTTTCACATATGATTGAGCTCGTCACAAAGCTTATCTAATGCAATTCACCTCTCATGTATGATTTGCGGGCTATTATTCTAGTGTGTACCTGAAGAGTAACGACCACGAGTTGCCTTGTCAATAAGAAAAGAAAAAAGTATGACTTATTATGGTTAATTTGCCAATTTTTTCTTCTTCTTTTTTTCCAACTCAAGAAAGGATAGATTACCAAAAAAAAAACGCGTAGAGTTTATGTCAAATGATGAGTTTAATTGACTATCTCCATTTTCTAACCAACTAATTTCTGTTTAGGGAGTATATTGAAATTTTCAACTAAAATTTATAATGAATTCTTGGGGGAAAAAGAGGAATTTTGAAGACTTTGAATTCTTGGAGAAAAATGAGAAATATTGTTATATTCAAATTAATCGAATTGAAAGACGGTGACTATTCACATGGGCGTATCAAATAGTCCTAAGTTTATCTGAACTCATAACTTTTAGTCTAGACCTGATTTTATACGTGTAATATCCTCTGAAGATATTGAATTATGAACTCTTTAACTTAAATAAGGTAATAGATTCAATTGTTGAAACTCGAGTCATGAACCACTTAGAATTAAAATTTTGAATCTGTCTCTAATGATACATATAATTGACCTCAACTTGCTTGAGAT